AAAAATATAAATTGAGCAATTTGAATGACAGAAAATGAATATATTTACCATCATTGGAGAAAGTTTGCATGTTGTGGCATTTCAAGCATTCTTCTACTCAGAGGTCAACACAAAACATTTTGTCTGTGAAACTATCAAGATCAGACATAAAACTGGCCGATCTTAATGCAACCAGCACATCAGGATAACATGATGCTCATGTTTGATTTCTTACAGTCATGTTTAGTCTTCTACTTAGCATTTACATGGCTTCTGAAAAGTATTGAAAATGAGTTTGACAGAAGATTCCCCTCGTTTTGTGAATCGCCTTCTGTCAACAGAAAGCCTATGTTTCTGTCTTTATATTGTAACTTGGGTACCAGTACCATACCAATATTTTCAGTAAAGCATTTTCAACAACTTGCACTTATATAGCCCCCTCCACACCGGGCGGCATCTCAGAGCGCTTAACAATGGCGGAGCCCAAGGCCGAGCCAAGGGGAGGGGGAAGGTGACCATAGGTGCGGTCGAAAACGAAGGTCTTCAGGCACGACCTGAAGATGGGTAAGGAGGGGGGTGAGGCAAAGGGGTTGAGTAAGGGAGTTCCAAAGTTTCGGGGCATAGTGGCTGAAGGCACGGCTGCCGATGGTGGAGCAGAGGATTCGGTGGATGTGGAGGAGGCTGAGCCCAGTAGAGCGGAGGCAGCAGGTACTGTTGTGGGGAGAGAGGAGATCAGAGAGATAGAGGGGTGCCAAGGAATGGAGGGATTTAAACACTGGAGTAAGGATCTTGAAGTTGATCTGCTCTGTGACAGGGAGCCACTGGAGTTTGCCAAGGACTGGAGTAATCGGGGAACAAAGTTTTGTGTGGGTGAGATTTCGGGCGGTGGAGTTTTGAATGAGATAAATTTTGTGAATACAACAACAACAAGATTACATTTGTATAGCGCCTTTCACGTCGGGAGGATGTCCCATAGTGAATAGTGGAGGAGGGGAGACAGGCGAGGAGGGCATTAAAGTAGTCCAGCTGAGAGGTGACAAAGGTATCGACAAGGGTTTCGGCAGCTTTTGGGGTGAGATATTGTCGGAGATGGTCAATGTGGTGGAGGTCGAAGAAAGTGGTGCTGGTCAGGGATTGGATGTGGGGGAGGAAAGATAACTTGCACATGGGTTCAATGAGCTTCAAGGACAGATCGGGTAGGTTGAAGAGGTCGGAACTGTGGGACAGAAAATGTCGGCAGGAGCCAAAGAGTATGGCCTCCATCTTGTTGACGTTTTGTGCAGGAAATTTGGGCTCATCCAGCTCCTGATGTCCAACAGACAAGCTAACAGGACATCAGGGGACTGGGAGAAACAGCTGGAGGTGGAAAAGTAGAGTTGAGTGTCATCTGCATACATGTGGAAGTTAACCCTGTGTCTGCGGATGACATCACTGAGAGGAGCATATAGATGAAGAAGAGAAGGGGGCCAAGGATGGATCACCGGGGTGCCCCGCAGGTGACTGGGTGGAAACGCAAAGAAAAGCCATTTGCAGAAATGTAGTGCTGGTGGTTTGAAGGTAGGACTTGAACCAAGCGAGTGCCGTCTCACTGAGGTGAATGATGGAGGATAGGCGATGGAGGAGATCGACTGTGTCAAACGTGGCAGAGAGGTCCAGGAGGACGAGGAGACAGAGGGAGCCCTGGTCACAGATAAAGAGGATATCGTTTTCCATCTTCACAAGTGCTGTCTCTATACTGTGGGCAGGCCAGAAACTAGATTGGAGGGGTTTTAGTAGGGTGTGGAGAGAGAGGTGTGTGCGAAGTTGGTTGGCAACAACGCGTTCCAGAGCTTTGACAAGGAAGGGCAGGTTTGAGATAGGGCGGTAGTGGCCAAGGTTGGTGGAATCAAGAGTACGTTTTATAAGGAGAGGGGTTGATGACCACAATTTTGAGGGTGAGTGGGACTGATCCTAAGGAGAGAGACGGTTAATAATGTCTGTCAGCAGTGTGCAGAGGAGGGGGAGCTGAGCAATCAGCAGTTGGATGGGGAGGGGTTGAGGCAGCAGATGAAGAGGTTTATTGTGGTGATGGTGAATGAGAAGGAGGAAAGAGAGATTGGGGCAAATTACTGTAGGATGGGGGCCATGGTAGGAGCTGAGGGCGGGGTGGGTGAGTGAGACGGAATGGGAGTGGTGGTGTCCCGCTGATCGCTCGCTCCCGGTCTCTGCGTGCGCATTTTGGCTGCCGCCCCGACCTGAGCTGCTCCCCCTGGAATTGCTCCTCCTCCTACTCCCCTCTATCCACTACTCCCACTCCGTCCTTCTCTCCCACCACCCTCCCTGCCTTCTCTCTCTCCTGGGCCCCACCATTACTTCCCTCTGCTCCAGAGTGGGCATCCTCCATCAGACCCATCATGGCTCCCAGCGTTGGTTGTCCCAGAGCAGCCACCCAAACTATCCCATCGCTCACTCTCTCCGCACCAACCGCCTCCGAAAGTCAAACACCCCTTCCCTCTCCTTCATTCATACCCTCTCCAACTCTCCCAGCTCCTCAAACTCTACGGTCATTTCTCCCCTATGACCCCAAATCCTCTTCATACCACTCTCTCCTCCGACCCCCCTCCCCACTAGCAAACCCATCCGGATTTCCCTATAAAATGTCCACTCCCTCTCCAATAAAGCCCTCACTATCCATGCCCTCATCCTGGATGAGCACATAGATATTCTTGGGCTTCCGGAAACCTGGCTTTCCCCCAGTGACTCCGTCCCCCTAGTTGAAGCCTCCCCTCCTTCCTACACCTTCCATCACACCCCCTACCCTAACCAACATAGCAGCAAGGTGGCCCTCATCTCCCAAGCTTCCCTCGGTCTATCCCCTTGTTCCTCTGGCTGCTTCTCCTCATTTGAGCACCTCACCCTCTACCATCCCTCCTCTCTCTCACTCAAACTTTTCCTGGTTTACCGCTGCCCAAAACCCCTTGGCTTCCTTCCTCTCCGATATCTCCACTCTCCTCTCCTCCCTGTCCCTCTGCTCAGAACGCCTGCTCATAATGGGCGACTTCAACCTCCACCTAAACTCCCCTTATACCACATCCTCAGATTTCACTGTCCTCCTCTCCTCCCTAAACCTCACCCTCCATATTAATTCGCTGACCTGCACCACACCATGGCCACCCCCTCGACCTCGTCATCATACGTGACCTTGACATTTCCAATGACAATGCCATCTCGGACCACTTCCTCATCTCCTTATCCTCTCACATTCCTCTTCCCTCCATCAAAACCTTAACCATACTTTTACACCTGTGGAAAAAGCTCCCCGAGACGCTCACAAATGCCCTCTCATCCTCAAACCTCATTTTCCTCCGGCCTTCCACCCGCAGCAACCCTGAATCAGCCGTCAAGCTGCTCCATGATCGCCTCTCCTCCACCTTCAAATCCCTCGTCTCCCTGAAATCCAGGGTCGGCTCCAAAACCACCCACTCCTCCTGGTACAACAGCCATCTCCACTCCCTAAAACTCCAAATCCAGTTGCTCGAGTGCAGGTGGCAGAAAACCAGCCTCACAGTTCACCACCAGCTGTGGCTCGAGCATCTTCACACCTACTGGCCCTTCCTGTCGCAAGCAAAAACTGCACATTACTGAAACATTATAGTGGAGGCCAACAATAACTCCAAAATCCTATTCTCCACCGCCCACCACCTCCCCATGTGGCCCCTCATGCAGCCTCAATCATCACATCTAACGCCAAGTGCGAAGAGATCATGGACTTCCTTACCTCTAAAATTGACAACATCCACCTGGTAGCTTCATCTTCCTGCCCCGTGTCACCTACCACTACCCCCATTCCGTCTCCCTCACCCACCCTGCCCTCAGCTCCTACCACAGCCCCCATCCTACATTATTTGCCCCCATCTCTGATGCTGATTTTCAGAACTGGAAGAGAAAACTCTAGCCATATTTTAATTTGCTTTAACAAGCTGAAGAAAATAATTGGCAGCACTTTTGAGGGCAGAAACCGTCAACCCCCATTCCACAGTGAAGAGGTAGAGGGCGGTTAGTCAATAACTGGAGGACATCAATTTAAGTTAGCAAATGAGCAAATGGGGTAGTTAAGAGTTTTGTTTCCACACATAGGGCGGTTAGCACCTGCCAGGAGCGGTGGTTGAGGCAAAATTCATATTAGCTTTCGAATGGGAACCAGATATTGAAAAACAGGTAGACTGCCTGGGTATTGGCGAAAGGCAACAACAACTTACATTTATATAGTGCCCTTTTATGTAGGTAATGTCTCAAAGCTCTCAATAGTGGTGGAGCGTGAAACAACAACAACAACAAGATTCCATTTATAGAGCGCCTTTCACGTCGGGAGGACGTCCCAAGGCACTGGAACCAAGCTGGTAAGAGAGGAAACGCCAAAGAAGAAGGTCTTCAGATGCGATCCAGAGTTACTTATGATAGAGTAGAGGGGACAAAGGATATACAAATGGCTGGAGCCAACTGAGCAAAGGGAATAGGTAGAAGAGTAGGGTGTAAGCAGGCAGGCAGGCAATGTCTATGTGAAAAACCTGCACATCATTATCCTTATACGAACAATCTACACCAATATCTGTATGTCAACAATCTACATATCATTGTCCCATGTGTGAATAATCTATAATCACTGTCCTGTATGTTAACCTACGCACCACTGTACCATTTGTGAATAAACTGCATACCATTTTCCTGCATGCGAATAGTGCACAACATTTGTCTATGAGTGAATTGAAGTGCTCCGCGTGAAGGGCTTATAAATGCCTGTTGTTTTTGTTGTGAATAACAAACACCTTTGTCTGTATGTCTAGAACTTACTGTTACTGAGACGCTATCCGGCGTGGAGGGTGCTATATAAATCCAAGTTGTTGTTGTAAATCCAAGTTGTTGTTGTTATGTAACACTACTGTCCATGTATGGATAATATGCACAATAATATTGTGTAGAGATAACCTATCAGGGAACCTTTTAAGAATACAATCCCTGTACAATAAATGGAAACAGCAAAGTGATAAACTCGTAGTTTATTGAAAACAGTGCATGGAATATGCACTAGATGGCGATGATGCAAAGACTCCAGTGTTCAACAATTCATGGTCCGTTTCTGGTTTTAAATGAACTTGTTGCATTACGTGTGCTGCGTCAGCAGAGAAATAAATGAACAAAAGACTAGCAGTGTTAACTTTTTATAAAGTGGAATGAAACCTATAAATAGAGTCCTCAATTGTTTTTGACACAGTTTATTCAACTATTTCCTTCAACATTATTTATTTATTTATTTATAACCGGGACTATCAAAAGACTTTAAACCTTGGAATCCTCTCTCAATAAAAAATGCTTTACACATTACTTCAGCATTGTTTTACTTTTCTCAATCTACTTGTCGATTTTAAAACATGCTAATTACCTGTCCAACACCAAAATTATTGGTACAACATATTTGAGCGTTCGTAGCAGGAAGATAGAACTACCTCAAAGTCTGGGAGGGAGAAAGTGGACATTTACTTCCCATGATGTTGTAAAATGTACTTTGAGTTAATGTCACTAATGAAGTTTCAGCTAACATTAGTCATAACCTTTTCCCTTGAATTATCTCACTTAATGGTGCATTTAAACAATTTCAGTCATCTAAACATAAATATGTAGCTAAAATTAAATGAGTAATTTAGTCATTTAAATTTCACAATAATTCTCTTACAATGCTCTGTTGCAGAATTACTGTTCCAAGGCCAAATCTGTAACTGCTTCCCCACCACAATTCAGAGGTGCTATTATAAGAAAAAAGTGGCGTGTTCAACAATAGATGCATCATGTGTTTGGAGTGTATAAGGATGTTGTCCCCAGCAACTGGTTTGCACCAGTATAAAGGTCAAAATAAGGTCTGATTTAAAGTAGGGCTAAAAAGAAAATAAAACTGCTGGGATCTAAAATGCAGGATAGTGACGTTAATGCCGATTAGTTACAGGATCAGTGTGAGTGAAAAGCATAAAGCAGGACCACCTGACATATGATGGTCAGGTTACACTGCTTACATACAGGCACTCCACAGTATCACTATTACTCACGGCATGACTGTACATGTGTAGGTATGCATACACCTTGCACACCTCCCGATGCACTTGCAGTGGTGCTGGGATTGTAGAGAGCAAACCGGAGCTTCCAATTCCTGTGATCCATTTTAGCTGGCTGTGCGTGTTTTAAATCCGCCCTGGATGGGTAGATTTCACACCAGTTAAGCACACAGGGTGATTTCAATGGACATCGGGACATGCATTAGCTGCTGGTGAATGTATCAGCTTACTGATACTGTAGTCAACACAGTGGGTACTCCAGCAATAGGGCATCTACTTGGGTACATCTCTGTGAGGACAAAACTATCTGAATTGAAGTGTGGTTCAGCTACTCAAAACCATGAATTTTCACTGGATTGATGCTATCACAGGTATAAACTCACTGCATACATCTTAGTATTCACAGGCATAGCACACAGATTATAACATTCTTGTCTGAGTTATTTTCATAGAATGAGACAAGTGACAATGAATCCTAGCAATTCTTTCACAAGTTTTTAAAGTGTGATGAGGAAAGTCTTTCTCATGAGTGATATGTCAACTCAAACTCACCATTACTGGGAGACATTTGTTTTATTCTGCAGATGTACTTTCTCAGAATCTTAAATGCACCCTTGAATTAATTCTCAAGCACCATGCGCTACTGTTAAATTTTATTTTGTCATAGATTCACCCAATGTATGAAATCTCAATACCATGAGCAGTGAATTTCTTATTATATTCTCAGAATAGACTTCTCTGTCAACAAAGCTAGTATCATTGATTGGATAGAGAGGGTGAAGGAAATGCAAGTTCCAAGGGTGCAGTGAAGTGGCAGGTTCCAATGTGCTTAATCCAGAATGCTGGCATAGTGCTGGCATAGCTTTATGACTGCGTGATCTGCAGAGCATCCAGCATGTCCTCCACGACCTTTAACGAATACTTGGTCTCCTTCTTACCACGACCTGCAAGCTTGAAGTAACAAAGAAGGATTAGATCTAGTTCCCGGCTGGCACTGTTTTAAATCTATGGCACCAAGCCATACAGCCCTCCCCACCCCCATGCTCCAACCTTTCGTGTCTGATTGCTGAAATGACTTGTAATGCACCTTTCAAAAAGGACAATGAAACTGGAGAGCATTTATTTTCACCCAGGACACTGACATTTTCTCAATGCAATGCTTTCCCATAACATAAGAATTAATACAACCTTGTTTCACACTGGGACAAACTACCACATAACAGGTTCATATCCACTTGAGAAAAGAGGTATTCAATAGGGCCTCAAGACTGCTATTCATTACGAAAATAGCAATTCTATTTCAATAATAAGGTGAGAAATGATTTGTTGGAAGAGTTTACTTCACTGGCAATTATCCAAAAGACAGCATTCATTTTGACCTGGCTCTTCTTTAGCCATCGAACAGATACACACGTATAGAGATACAGGTATAAGCTATTTGTTCAATTAAGGTCATTGCTTTAATGGAAGCACATGTCATCACCTAATATGTCATCAAATTTAATTCTAAATTGTGGTCACGTTATGCACCACAACACTGTAGACCACACCAGTGGATTTTTAATTAAATCTGTAAATGTTGGCGATTCTCCAGATATGTGAAGTGACACTATCAGCTGTCTTCATCACATTTTAAATCTCTAAACTTGTCTTTGAGGTCGAACACCATTACATGACTGCCTCTAAGTTATTGATATTTAAAGCCACAAACCTGTCCAAAAGTTTAAGTGATAAAGCAGCAACAATAGAAATTGTTTCTATTGTTTCTAAGAGACAACAGAAACAATAGAAGTAAATTATTTTCTTGTGCTAGCAGGCTTTCTCTGCAATTAGTCGAATCCTGTGCTCATGTAGAATCTGACATTTATATTAAACTGGATATGCATTTTGGCATAAAATAGCAGGGAAAATATGTCTTTCTAAAAACACTATACTTTTCTTATAACTGCTATTAAAAATATCAACAGCAAGAGACTTTAAAAACACGTTGGGGGTCAGAATCTTTCTGTCAACGTAACAGTCGGTGCTTTGAAAACATTAGACTTTTATAATCAATCCATTGCAAATCCTTACACAAGTCCAACATTAAGCCATAGGAAGTTAATGCTCAAAAGATGACAACGGCCCATTTGCACATTTATGCACCAGTAATGCACATTTTCATAGTAAAAGACATAGATGTTCAGTTTGCTCAAAAGATATTGAACATAAAATCCCATAGTTTTGCCTGCCTCTCATACCTTTGAGTTGTGTACTGTTCACCAGAAAATACATATATTCTTTGTTAGCTTATATGTAAAGTTTATTTTACAAATAAATAACAGATAGTTAGCACTTAAGGATTTACGACACTGGTATCTGTTGCAGCAACTTAGTAGCTAAAGATGGTTTAGTCTTTCTCCTTTTTAAATAGGTTAAGATGATACTTTTACAGCCCAAGCTGCCTGGTCAAGCAGTTGAGTGCTCAACACTAATTCAAAAAATTGCCAGTGTGAGTCCTAGAATAGCCCATCACTCAAACTTGCTCTCAATAATGAGTTCAGTCAGTTTTTAACTGAGAATGTAAGGTAAGCATCTAAATATTTCATCTCAGCTCAGGAGAATAAGAATTCAAGAGTTATTCAACACCTCACCTCACACAAAAAAGTCTGGAGGGAGTACCTTGTGTTCAAAACACTCAAAGATAGAAGAAATAATTATAATATAGCTCGTGTGTGGCTAAGAAACCTCGCTTTTCCACATTTCCTGGATCTTCCAGCTCCATTCGTGGATCTCTCCAAAGATGTACATTCTAGAAAGGTGTCAGGGAAGTCTCGACAGTTTAGTGGAGGATGGGTGGGTTTTATCTGGGAGCAGAGCACAGACGAGCAGGCATCAGTCTGGGAACCACCTGACTCTGGGAAATTGCAGTATCGACCAGGTATTTCAATGTTCTTGGAGCGTTGTCTGTACTGTGCTATCCTGGGAGAGGGTATTGATGCATCCGTGTATATTGTTATTCCCTGGCAGGGTGTATTGATGCCTGTTTGTTTGTACTGTTCAATTCTGGGAGGGGGTATTGATGCCAACTCATCTGTATTCTGTTAACATGGGAAGGAATATTGATGACTCCTCATCTGTACTGTGCTATCCTGGGAGCTGATATTGATGCCTATTTGTCTACAGTGTGCTTTCCTGGGAAGTGGTATTGATGCCTGCTTGTATTTATATTGTGCTATCCTGCACCTCAAAATCCACTCCCAAGCTAATTCAAAGCACTCAATCCATTGCACCTCTGCCTCAGAACAACAGTGTGTCTTAGGATTGGAGGAGGCTGGTCACAGATTGAGTAGGAAAGTGAGTCATCGTAACAAATATATTAAATATCATTTTTTTCTATTTAGGACAATACTGTACTATGAACAAAATAAATACTTCCGATCCATTCACATGATTTTTACCACCAGTAATACTTAGTGAAAAGATGGAAAAGGAGCACCTCCATGTGGAGAGAATGTTACTGTCCAATTTTGAAACAGACTGATTTTCAATACTTCCTGTTTTGTCAAAAGAACTCAAGATTTCAATTCAACACAAGAGTTTTGCAGCTCTGACGAGCATGTTTTTAAAATGCCATCATTTAGTTTTTTGCAAAAAATATTTCAGCATTTGTATTACTTTATAATCACAGACTACATTTATATCTATTGCGGCAAAAAATTAAGGGTGAGACAACTCTATATATTTATTCAAAAGACACTTTCTAAATATTGTGGCTACGATCTTTCAGCTAATCAATATTTTCCTTTTACAATCAAGTTCCTATCTTAACATTGCATTTCTAACAATTTAAATATAAAATATTCTCTAAATCCAGTGGATCTGCACAGAAAGTGTTTTATAGTTCACAGGGTTTCAGTTGTACAACATTTGCACAGCTGCCAGCTATTCAATTTGTAACCAGACTCAAATATTTTTTTCTGCCCAAGATTGCACTTGCAGTAAGAATGAGATGGAAGACTGTATCCAATGGAAAGTTTCAGAAAACATCCAAAGATGTGAACAGCTTGGATCTTACTTCTTCCTGTGCATATTTTTAGTGTAGTTAGAGGTAAAATTTGTTGGAGTATCTTCTTATGATAGCATAATCTTAATCCTGACACATTTTATTTGCTTTGCAGGTCCCTCCCTGACCATATATCTATAAGGCTGAGAATGCAGAGCGAGCAAGCAAGCAGCCTACTCACAGGTGTCTCAGCAAACAGTGTCATCCTAGTGCTTTGAAGTTGTTAAGTTAGAGCTTTGAACTATGGTATATTGTAGTTATTAGTTGTACTGTCTTGATGCTGTGATCTTCCCAAGAAGGTACTAATCACCTTTGTCAAGTAGCTACGGTAATATTAGAAGGAAATTACATAGATCCAGAGCTTCACACTGAGATTGGATGCCTCCAGCCTTAGCCGACCGTCCGCAGGCAGTTCAGAGGCGGGAGTGTTATCCCTGTGTTAAGCACTGGCACACCGGCTGCTTGCGGCCTTGGCCAGAATCCTCTTGCAATCCAAGCATACTACAATTTAGTGACCGTTTAGTTTTATGCATGGTTTGGCAATTACCAAACTACTTTCGAGCATTTCCTCAGAGAGAGCATGAGCTAATAACCCATGAACAGGGCCAACAGAAAAACAGAGTGGCATGCAATTAATAGACACTAGCAATTACTGGTTAATTTTGAGAAACCTTGGATTTTAAATAATGAGCAAATGAACATGTAATTTAAATAAACCTGAATATTCAATCCTGGCCAAACTTTAAATTGTCCAACTCTTTAACCACCAATAAAACCTTGGGCAAGTTTCCTTACTCCACACGCCTAATAATAATCCCTCCAAAACAAAACAATAATAAATTGGTCATTTTCAATCAACGATTGTTTGTAGGACACTGCTGTGTGCAATTGGCTGCCATGTTTCGCCCACAAATATACGGTCAATTCACTTTACAGCATATTCTGTGAAGCGCTTTGAGACGTCGAGAAGACGTGAAAAGCGCTATATCAAATGCAAGGCTTATTACTATATTATTATAATAAAACTAAGAGCAGTTATTCACAGGCATGTGCCAATCTGATTTAGCAATCCTCGTTTTTCTTTGAAATGGCTATTTAAAGAGTCATTATGCCTCATAAATTGTTTTTTCTTTCTACAAACCAGCAATTATCGACAAACTCTGGTCCTCGTTACTCTATACTAACATGATTAAATCCCATTTTTGAATTTCCATGCTGTATGGTAAACAGTCCACTTCCAATGATTAAAACAGCTTTCTTTACAGTACAGTTTTATGTTCAGAGACTATCACAGTCCAGCTTCACTGTGAGTCCACAGCATCACAGGACACAAAGTTTACCTCCTGACAACCTTAAGCCAATTTTGAATGCAAGAGAGTGAAAGAAAACTCATGCCTCTCTTCCAAATAATCAGATTAATAAGGACATACAGAAGCATTCAAGTAAACATTCTAAGATAAATTAAATCACAGGTCCTTAAGCACCATGGTTTTATTAAGCTTTCCGTAATTGTTTCCTTCCCTTAGCAAATACACAGATCATGCCACAGATAAATTTTTTTTCAAAAGTCTATATAGTTAACATTGTATTGGATTATCAATTTTTAATAGAACAACATTTTCAATCAGTCCTTATGCTATTCATATATTTTTATTAGATATCTGGTACTTAGACATGATCAATCCAGTCTGTACAAAAGGTGAACCTATATTAATAATGACATAAGTGTGAGAACAAGCACCAGCTGTTGTTCTACAGTTGAACCTTGGGTTCAGCTCTGACCCTTGATCACTCCCAGATGTCTAAATATCTTCCTGAGTACCTCTCCCCAGAATGGTTATGATAATCACCAGGTACCACTTACATTTATGACCAAAGTTTCGTCACAATCAATCACACACCCTGT